AAAAAATACCAAATATAGTAAGACAAGTGCTAAATTTTTTTAACACAAACAACGCGAAATAAAATTATTTAACATGTTTTTTTTTAAGAAAAAATCGATTAAAAAATCAGTTTTTTTCTATTCTAAAGTTTTATAATAATCTATTGATGAATAAAACATAACACGCATTTTCCATTTGATAAAATGTTGTTGCATTTTAGTAAGTATCTACATTTCTAAATTTTTCAACCTAAAAATGAACCATGCCAACTGAAGTTATGATTTCAAGTAGTCAAATAAGCATGTAACACAGCATTTGTGTTGTGTTCACAGACCCGTTTCACTTAATAAGTTGATTTTTTTTGCAATTAGTAAATCATTTGCTTTATAACAAAATGCATATGTAAAATTTCTTAATGCCGTCTTCCTTCTAGTGGGTTTCATCAAACAATGGCAAATCAAAAACCTTTAATGTCCAAGAAACATTTATAAGATTTGAATTACAAAAAAACTCGTTTACACTTAAGAAAGGAACTAAGTTTTTTTTTCAAATTTACTAATCCCTATATCTTTCCAACCCGATGGTTTAAACCTTGTATATTTCAGTATTAATGGTCTACGACATCGGGTTGTAAAGATATATTAAATGAAAATTAGAGTTTTTGGCATAAACTCATTTTCTTTAAACTTGAAATGAAAAACCATAAGTCTTTGCTCTTATAAGCATCAGTCGAATCTTTTATATTGATATATTAGAGACGTTTTGAAATGTTTTGATTGACAGAGTTATTGTTACACTTTTGAAATTAAAACTCAGCCCTCATAGTCTAACGTTTTATGAACAACATTTTCATTAGACATATATCTAACGTTAGACTAATCAATTTAGTATTTAGAGAAAAGTGATGAAACGTTTTGATTTACAGAATTACATTTTTTAAATATTATACGTTACATTATTGAAATTTTACTCTGTAAAAAAAACTTTCGTTTCCTGATTATTAAAATAATAACCCATTTCTGCAACGTTGAATTTTTCATTATACTATAAGGGAAAACGTTTCAAAACGTTTTCATAAACAGTAATGCATTTTTCAGTTATATAATGTTGCACTTTTTATAAGTTGAACTTTGAAATAGAAATCCTTTCGTTACGATATTCAATCAAATCAAAATTAATTTTTCAAACGTTAGACTTTCAAGCTCCCCTTGGAAACAAAACATATCTTTACGTTATGGTAAAAAAAATTGTAGATATTTGAAAAATAACGTTACATTTCCACAAAACGCTAATGTTGGGGGTATGTTCCTCTAACGTTAACGTTTAACGTTAACGTTAACGTTTAACGTTAACGTTAGGTATGAGCTCCTATAACGTGAACGTTTAACGTTCACGTTATATAGAATATATCCAAACGTTACACATTATTGTAACGTAACGTACAAAAACGTACATTTTACGTTACGTTACACTATAGTTGACATCTCTAATACGTACACATAAATAATGAATATATATAAATATACATATATATATTTATAGATGTTAAAACTAAACACACTATTAAGTGATAACAGAATAAGTATAAATATATAAGTCATGGAATATTATTTTATCTTATTTATTTATAGGGAGAGTTTGAATGTAGCATATTATTGTTCAAAACATTTGGAGCTTCGACAAAAATAAATTAGGATTGACAACGATGTATCAATTTGTTAAGAATCTTACAATCAAAATTCTAGAATTAAATTGAAATTAAAATTTAATTTAAAACAATTTACTGTTTACAAAATCTCTATATTATGAATAATTACATTTTAGTTGACAAAATTTGGAGCAGAATTTTTTAAGGTAATAGAAAATTTGAGTTTGTGGCAACGACTCATTTTTATTTCGATATTTGAAACTAAACTTAAAAGCACTGAAAGTAAATATAAAAACACGTTTTATGAACGTCTTGTCTCGAAGATGACTTGTGCTTTTCAGATTAGTGCGCATTTGTAGAATTGCTAGCGTAGTTAATAGTCAGCTGTCAGGCAATATCAGGATCAATTTTCTATATTTACTCTACTTATTTTTGATTAGGGTTTATTCTAACATTACTATCTTTTATTATATGATGTAATATTCTTTAAACAGTACAATACTATACTGGGTGTCCCAATAGTTATGGGAATAAACAGACGACTTGAAAATCGTCTTCGTCTACCGAAAGTTGATAAATGACAAGGGTGTATCAAAATAAAGACACTGCAAACCCTGTAGCAAGTTCTTTAACTACAAAGAGCCCAAAATTTTAGATAGGGTATTGTCATGAAACCGGGTTAACCAGAAATTTTGTAGAGATATTATTTTTTTTGTAAGAAATATTATTTTCTTTCTTATATTTCAATGTTAAATCTTCACGTTACTTTTTTGAATTTCCGACTGAGGCTTTATGTCTGTGAATTATAAAATAAACATATGTTCCTTTCCATGTTATCTATATCTCTTTATAGTATAAAACTCTTCGCTCATATATGTATTTATTTATATACATGATCGCTACAGCTGACCAAATTGCCTGTTTTTTTAGGAAAACTGTTGGTACCCGGGGTCACATATCTAAAAAATTCCACGGGCAACGCCAGGCAATCCAGCTATAGTCTCTTGTATAATTCAAACAGTGTTGGTACGTTGGGTACCAGCCTAGCGTTGAAAAACGTTTAGAATTTAAACCCCATATATAATGTTGAGATAATGTTTGTTAAGGGAAGGTGGTTAAATAAATTAAAAGGAACGAGGGGCAGGTAGAGGAGGGCATGAAGGGGTGAGGAGGAGGGGAGAGGGGATGCAAGAAGAATGGGGCAGATTGACATTGGAAAGACGCAGGGTGGATGGGGAGGGGGGGAAGGAATGATGAGGGTTCAAATAATAGAGCGTATACAGGAGACATCTGTCCTTAATTATTCTGATTCCAGCCATACCTAGACAACAGGACAATGTATAGACTGACCTACGTGTACTCTATTTATCTATCTATCTATCTTTAAGTTTGTCTATATCTATCATATCTGTTTATTTATATTTATAAATCTGTCTTTCAATTTCAACACTTTTCTTTGTCCGTGTAGTAAAGCATCAAAAGTTTAATCTGAAAGCATCAAAAGTTTAATCTGAAAGCATCAAAAGTTTAATCTGAAAGCATCAAAAGTTTAATCTGAAAGCATCAAAATTAACATTTGAAAGAATATAAAAGTAACAAGCAATCAAATTTTATGCCTTATTCACTCTTTTTTGAGAAAATATTAACTTTCCAGTCATATTATGACTTAATGAGCTAGGAAACATGTGCTTTTTTCCCTTTGCTTTTCAGATGGATTTTTCCTCATCAGTTGTAAAACAAGAAGAAAGAAATCCTTCATTTTTCGGTCAAAAATAATTTTTGATGCTTTTAAGAAAATCAGAGATAGGGCGAGTTTTGGCAAGAGAGTGAGAAGATGCCATACTCCCCCCCCTAGGGCTGAACACGTTTAAACTTTTTCTAGCTGCTACAAAGACTTTTGTTCCAACCGTTGAAAACAATTAAGTTAGCCGTTAATTTTAAAGGTAAGAAAGGAAGAAAGTTCTGTTAACGGCATTTTCCGTTTTATCAAACCATTTAAATTTTATTAACAGCTTTAACGGATAAACTCCAAAAACCGTTAACGGTATAATACATTATTAACGGCACGAAACACTGGAAAAAATTCGTTAACTGTTTCCATTAACGGTTTATTACAGTACAAACGGTTTTAAAAGTCGTCAACAGCATAGCCGTAAACGATTTATTATAGTATTGACGGTTCCTGAAATCGCTAACGGTCTTTTATAGTATTAACGGCGTAAAACTTCCAAATAATTCGAAATTTTACAAATGTCAAAATTGTTTATACTGATCATTTTTTTTACTTATTTTATGCCTAATTATTCCCCTATGAGGAAGAAGAGTAAATAATAAAATTGGATATAATGACTAAGGATACCAATTTAGAATTTTGACTTAGAAAGTGTCTTAGACACAAATTTGTCTGAAAAGTAAGACTTTTACATAATAATGACTTAGAACTGTGACTTAGAATGGGCCTTGAATATAATTAAGCCAGACAACTGTGAATTAGACAAAAGAGTGACTGAAACAGTGTTTCAGACCTTATTAAGTCTTAGAATTGTGACTTAGAATGGGTCTTAAAAACAATGAAGCCTTAAAAAACAAGGCTGAGACATGGTTTTGAGTTAGAAGTGAGTCTTAAAATGTGTCTAAGACATATTGTTACTTTGACAGTGTTTTAGATGGTGTCTAATGCATATTTGTGACTTAGAGAGTGTCTTAGACATAATTGTGACTTAGAATTGCGACTTAGAAATTGTCTTAAAAATAATTATGTCTCAAAAGTATGAGTTTGACATAGAACGCGCGGTGACTTAGAAAGTGACTGAGACATAATTTTGACTTAGAAAGTTTTGGAAGTAAGAGTTTTTCTTAGAACTGTGACTTGAGTCTTGAAATAGTTGTGACTTAGAATTGTGATTTAAATAGTGTCTTAGACATAATTTGGTCTTAAAAGTATAACGTTGATGTAACTGTGACTTAGAACTGTGATTTGGAATATGTCTTACCATGACTTAGATATGGGTTTGAATTAGAACTGTTTCTTAGAATGTGTTTTAAAGTTGTAACCTAAATAAAAATGTGACTGAGATGGGTTATGCTAGATTACGCAAAGTATCCAAATTTACATGTCAAAGCATCTTATTTGTCCAAATCGATAACATTTAGCTTATCTGTCTATCTTGCTATATATCTGTATTTAAATCTGCCTGTCTCTTTATCAGTTTATCTATCAGTTTCTCTGTTTATCTATCTATGTATTTAAAAACTGAAATATGTATATATATATGTAACGCTGCCTAACTTCAAAAATACAGTTAGCTTAAATTGCTCTGAATCTGTCCTCTACCAATTAATGAAAAAAAAAAACAATTCTTATTCAGAGTATCTCTGTAACTGCTATATTTTTGTGTTATGATACAGGTAGTCTTAAGGACTGAACGCAAATCCAATCAAGATAATGTATGATAAATAGATAGAGGGTTACAATTATGATAAGGAAGATTAAGTATATTTATTACAAATAGAGGGGGGGGAGGGGGTAAGTGATGCGAGCTAGGGTTGAACATTCCTTGGTTATCATGTTGGACTTCTATGTTCTTGGTACTGGATATCCACTTGTAAGCATTGGTTGTGCAACAAGGTTTCCTGAACTTTTGAGTTTGTCATGGTACCAGGCCCTTCCACCCCTGTTGTTTAATCATCCTTACAGCATTAAACCTACTCCTGTAACGCCCTAGCCTGGACTGGCTGTATCTGTTGGAGAACACCCTGCAGTCCAGCCTCTTCCTGTTATGAATTGAGAATCCTTGAGCTTAGCTTGTACTTGAGAGTTTAATCTAAATTGATAAAGAGGTTTATGAGTTATGATTGAACATACAAAAAAACCGGAAAAGATTACTACTTAACTATTGTAAATATCAGGGATAAGGCGATATTCAAACTTCTAGTGGTGTTGCAGGTGTTCCAGGTATCACACCCAGGTCCCACTCCTCCTGCATGAATCTCCCCATTTGTCCTTAAAATGCTCACTATAGTCCTCTTTCAATTATATTGGACAATGGGTTATATGGTGGGGCCTTGATATGCAAGATTTTAAGTTCTGTGAATAGTTCTTGCCTTAAACTATTCACAAACCAAATATAGCAAAATGTTCATGATTAACACCCTTTGAAACAGTACCAGCTTCCTTTTTGCATATGGATATGCACTCATGAACTTTGTGAATCCATTTTGGACTGTTAATAAATAATGATTCTTTCTCACTGTTTCAGATATGTCACTAAGTCAATGAACACTTTCTCCCCTACGTTTCCTTCTGTGCTTGGAACATTAGGACCCATCTTTTGCTTAACACTCCTTTCCTTAAATAAACATACATCACAACATTCCATTAATCTTCTGATCTTGTCATGTGCAAAAAACCTTCTTTTAAATTAGTCTAAATTGCTGCCATACCCTCATGACATATTTGGAATGTTTCCTTCAACTTCACTTCTGGTAAACAAATACCTAAAGCATTGTAGTGTTTGACTGAATTGTCTCACTGTATAAACACTTCAGAAGCTCATTTCGAAATTTTCCATGTATTCCAGGATAATCCAGATTTTCTACTCTTCAATAAAGGACTATTTGACCTATCAATTCTGACTGGAGCCATTTTTATTCACCAGAATATGAAATTTCCCTTCAGGTTAGTCAATTTCCTGGATTTTTTTAACCCAGTTTTTTTTTGCATTTTTCGTTTAAAAGTTAGCAAATCAAAAATATCAGTTATAGAGAAACACCCTCTAGTTGGGCGTGGCAAATTTTGGTTATCCTTGACATATTTTTCAAGCATCTGTACCCCTCCCTGGCTTACTTTGTGTCCTAGATATTTAGTTTCTGGTTGAAATATCTTTGTTTTAGGTTGTATCTTAATTCCTGTCTTGATGTAAGCTTGCACTACCTTCCTGTAAGTTCTAAATGTTCCCACATATCCAGGATACACCAGGATATCATTTGGGTATGACAACCAGTAATCAGCGGGTAAATGAGCCATAGCCAGATACAGCCTCCGGCTACAAACACCTCTGGCATTGGATAAGCCAAAAGGCATGCATATGTAACGGAATTTGCTATCTCATTCTCATCTCTCTTAAAGCTTTCATGAATAAACTTCCTCTTACTTTCCTCAGAAGGATATTCTGACTCTTGCATTGATTTCAAACTATTTGATGGCATTTTTTCTTCATATTAACACACATCCAGTCAGCATCAAAGAAATCCTAGAAGAAAACCAGCGGAGACCAAGACTTGTCTAGGAGTTGTTGTTGCAGGACAGCTCTTATGTGTGAATCCGAGGCATCTACGGCGAGAGAGATTGGCACGTTGCACTGAGTGTGAACCAACTCTGGATTCTGGAACAGATGAGAGGAGATGTTTCGCTCTGATGAAGGCAGAGTCCATGAGTGGAGTCCAGGGAATGGTTTTTCCAGGTCCCTTGAGAGCATCTGTGAGAGGAGCAAGGACTTAGCCTGCAGCACGGAGAAACTTTCTGTAGAAATTGATTATACCAAGAAACCTCTGGAGACTGTTGATGTCTGTTGGCTGTGGAAAGGCGGAGATGGCGGCGGAGTGCTTCAGTAGGGGAGAAAAACCTGAGGTGGAGAGACAGTGGCCAAGGAACTCAATTTCTTTAACAGCAAACTAACACCTGGGCAGGCCAATAGTAAGACCATACGCATGACAGAGGGGAAACACATCATGGAAATGCTGGACGTGAGAGGGTAGATCTTTGCTGAAAACCAGGATGTCTTCTACATACACAAAACAGTAATGAAGATCCCCTAAGATCTGGTCCATTACACGTTGAAACGTGTTTCCAGTGTTTCAGAGGCCAAATGGCATCACCAAAAATTAAAACATCCCGCATCTGCTTTAATCCATCTGCGCACCCCCACTTTTGTAACTCCAAAAGTACTCTGAAAGCTATTACTAGTCTTAGCTTAAATTGCTCTGAATTTATCCTCTACTGATTAACAATTAACAAAATAAATGTAGTCTTTATTTATGGAATACCGCAAATTTGTATTTGTAATTGTTGCAACTTATGTATTTCTGAAATTGCTCCGAGGGTATAACTTGTGTTAAGTCTGCTTAGAAAAAGTCTCATCAATTTTTGAGACAGGGTCAACTTTGAAGGGTCGCAAAGCCTTGGGAATTGATTTTATCGCTTTAACTCACTTATGCCTTTCTGTAGCCCTTTACATGTACACTTTAGCAGTATAAAGCACTTGTTGTTAGCTTTGGTTTCTAAGAAATAATTGGTAAAATTCTCATTGATCTTTGCTTTTGCTTGAGAGCTTGCAACCTTTTAATCACCAGTGAGCCTCTGTTATAAAAACAATGAGGAAGATAAAGTAGATTTCATGTTGAGAAAAGTTATAAATTTTGACAATTAATTATACTTTCCCTGTCTTGAATTAGCAAAATTTAAGTTGTTTCGCTCATAAAATTCCAATTGTTTTATCTTGATATCTACTGTGGGCACTGAGCAGTTGTTTGATCTCTATATCTACTGTGGGCACTGGGCAGTTTTAATTCGAGAATCAATGCTAAATCTCTGATTGCAGTTATTCCATCCCCTGATTACCAAGAGGCAGGATATCAAATAAAGATTAAATTAATCGGCAGATTACCACAAGATAGAGATAAAGAATTTTCGACTTCCCGTGGTGGTCATACCCTGCTGGAATAACTTTAACTGAGGGATCATGCTTCTATAATCAAATTTGAAAGAGCCTCCGTTAAATATCGAGATCAAACATTCAAGATTACATTAAAGTACATTTTCAAAGATACCAGGCTTTTAGGGAGCTTCGCACTCATCCTTTTTTCAACTTTTAATTGGAACAATAACAAAGAAAAGTTTGCGGATTTATTAATATTATTTTCACACCTTTTTTAAATTTACAAAATCAAAAACTTTTAAATACGAATTTTTGTAATTTTGATCATCCATAAAGATCTCATCTCTGTGATCATATTGGATCCGTTTTGACGTTCATTGAATACAAACGGACAGACAGAAAAACAAGCAAAATATACATATATTTTAGGGCGCTTCGCGCCCATCTTCTTTTTCAACTATTAATTGAGGCTTTATCTGTGAGCATCTTCTCTTTGCACAGTATAAAACAAAAACAAACAAAAGTTTGCAGATTTCATAATATTTTTTGCGCAACTTCTAAATTTTAAAAAAGTAAAAAACTTTTAAAATAAATTTTTGAAATTCTGATCATCCATAAACATTCCTTGTGGTCACGTGAGGTCCTACACAAAATTCGCGCACATCTTCTATTTCAATTGTGAACATGTTCTCATTGTAACATTTCGCGGATTTAAAAAAAAAAATTGCATATTTTCAAGATTTAAATTTTTTTTTACAAACATATAAAACTTTTAAGCACAATTTTTTTAAAATTTTTATCACCCCGGGGTCACGCAAGATTCCCAAAAAAAATTTGGGCCCGATCGGTTCAGCCGTTGTGTCGTTTATTGGATACAAATAGACGAACAAACAGACAGACAAGCAAAGTATATATACAGGGTGTCCCAAAAAACATGGGAATTCAGAGACGAATTCGATATCGTCTTTGTTATGAATTAGCATTGTAATACCTAATTCTAAAGCCCTAATATTATTATGCCTGCTAAAGTTTATTTTATGAAAAGGGTATAAGACTGTAAAGATGTGTTTATAATGTCTCTACAAGATGAACAGTGAAGACGGACAAGTTTACTCTGTTTGTATACTGCAATTTTCTTGTTTTACTAAATATACAACCGTATGCAGTCAAAACATAAACAAACAAAATGTGAACATAGCAGACGAAACTCTTACAGATTATAGCTTTCTCAGTAGGTTTCACTATACTAAATCAAAGAATTATTTAAAAAGACGATATCGAATTCGTCACTGAATTCCCATGTTTATTGGAACACCCTGTGAAAGAAGAACGCAAAGACGATAATCTATCGTTTCTTTTATCCTTTAGACTTTCCATTCAATTTCCCAGTCATGTAATTCCTAAAGTAAGACGACATTCATAAATGAGAAAAAATTTGCATGAATCCTAGGATTTTATGAATTATTTTATATGTAGTGTATATACATGTATAATTGATAATTGTCATGTATATATCATATACAGATAGGATGAAGAAAAATAACGGAATTGGCGATTTTTTACACAACACAAAACATTTCAGGCAAAAAAATATTAAAATTTTACTTTCAATGTAAATTATCAAATCTAAAGTTCAAACCTAATATTATGATATTTATAGAGTAGCGTTTTTTCTTTACTAGCGTTTTATGAGTGTAGCGTTTTATGAGGTAGCGTTTAATCTATGTAGCGTTTTATGAGGTAGTGTTTTATGAGTCACCTTAGTTCTTTTTTTGACCCCAGCACGTTAAAATCCTCTAATTCAGACACGTCTCGTCCCTTGGAATATATAAGATTAATTTTACAGAGTCTATTTAATAATTTTGGTATTTAGAAATCCAGGGAACCCTGAATATCAGAAATCCAGGGAACCCTGAATATCAGAAATCCAGGGAACCCTGAATATCAGAAATCCAGGGAACCCTGACCCTGAATATCAGAAATCCAGGGAACCCTGAATATCAGAAATCCAGGGAACCCTGAATATCAGAAATCCAGGGAACCCTGAATATCAGAAATCCAAGGAACCCTGAATATCAGAAATATGGCTGAATACATTCCGCACAGTTGTCTTTAAAGTCTGATCCTATGTGGGTAGCCCTGTATATCAACAAGAGAAGAAAGATGTATAAAGGGGGGATATATATCAACAGGCCCCCCTCCTGTCACCTACAACTACTGGGTTTGCCAACTCCAACTCTGAAGAAAAATTGTCTCATTAGGTTGGAGGGATCCCACCATTATACACAGATAGTTAGATAGATAGATAGATAGATAGATATATAGGTAGATAGATAGATAGAGTAAGAACCAGAAAACTGTGGAATTGGAAGACGACATTATTAAAAATTAGCTGTTATAAAAGTTGTTACAAAGTAAGCAGCTTTACTAGTAACTTAGTGATTTATTTATTTAGTGAAATGGTTCTGTTTACACTGCACAATTGATGTGTTTTCTGTTCATTGCACTAAGTCATAACTTGAGTTTGAAAGTCGTCTTCTTATTTCATACTTTTCAGGTTTTCACTGTAGACAGATATATGTGAAAAGATAGAAAGATAGAAAAATAAAAAAGCTTTCATATTTTTTAATAAAACAAAACCAAGTCTGTGTATGTTATATTAAGCTTTTCAAAAAAAGATCGATCGGGGCGCGATAAGGACTAAACGTCGGTAACACAGTTACTGGACAGTTTCCTTCAATTTTAAAAAATGAGTTTCGAATGTTTTGTAATGCCTCTGATTCAGCGTATAACTTCTCTATGAAGTTTTGTGAAAAGATAAGTAAGTACATTAAAGGTCATATATTCATCGTTAATTGCTAGTTTATTAAAAAGATAAAAATTAGTCTAATAGTGTCCTGTTCATTAGAAATTCATTAAATTAAACATTCTAGTTAATAAAAAAATATGCGAAATTAAATTTCCCTTATTTGCCCTGGTTTGTTTCAATATTGAAATAAACATGATAACTTTCAACTTCAGTTTTGATTTTAAAAAGTTTTTCAATATTAAACATGCTCTGAAATATTTTCAATAAACATGATCTGAAATATTTTCAATAATAATCATGCTCTGAAATATTTTTAATATTAATCATGATCTGAAATACTTTCAATATTAAACATATTCTGTAATGTTTTCAATATTAAACATGCTCTGCATGAAATATTTTCAATATTGAACATATTCAGAAATAGTTTCAATATTAAACATATTCAGAAATATTTTCAATATTAAACATGTTCTGAAATATTTTCAATATCAAACATTATCATAAATTATTTTTAATATTAAACATGCTCTGAAATATATTTAATATTAATCATGATCTGAAATATTTTTAATAATAAACACATTCTATAATATTTTCAGTATTAAACATGCTCTGAAATATTTTCAATATTAACCATGCTCTGAAATATTTTCAATATTAAACATGCTCTGAAATATTTTCAATATTAAACATGCTCTGAAATATTTTCAATATTAAACATATTCTAAAATATTTTCAATATTAAGCATGCTCTGAAATATTTTCAATATTAAGCATGCTCTGAAATATTTTCAATATTAAACATATTCTGAAATATTTTCAATTTTTAACATGCTCTGAAATATTTTCAATATTAAACATTATCTGAAATATTTTCAATATTAAATATGATCTGAAATATTTTCAATATTAAACATTTTCTGAAATATTTTCAATATTAAACACGCTCTGAAATATTTTCAATATTAAATATGATCTGAAATATTTTCAATATTAAAAATGATCAGAAATATTTTCGATATTAAACATGTTCTGAATTATTTTCAATATTAAACATGTTCTGAATTATTTTGAAAACTATTTAAACCTTGAAAATGTGGTGCAAAGAAGGGATCTTATACAAAAATTAATTTTGACTGCACAATTTATACTTTATGATAATACGGATATACATGGTGTTGACTTTTAACTACAATTTCATTTCTTTTATACTTTTTGTTTTAAGTTTTGTTTTGTTTCAATTTGAAAATATATAAAGACAAACTCCATGTAAATATAAAGGTTGTTGAATTATAGATCAAAATGCAATGAATTTAATTTAAACTACTAAAAAGTATAACGGGTTGTGTCGGGCCCACCAGGGCAAACTTGAAGAAAATATTAAAATTCGATTTGATCTTGACTTCTATATTGATTGTCTCATTAGTCATCAGAAACAACAACTTGATCTGAATCCAAACTAAAAAATATTTTCAGAAAAAATGAGCTCATTGATCAAAATGTTTAACAGAATACTGCAGGCTTTTAGTAACAGAGATAACCCAGGTAAAGGATAAAAGTAAAGTAAAATAACAGGTTTTCTTGTCGCTTTTCTGAAACAATTTTCCCATCCTACATTGAAAAAATTAAGATTGGCTTGTTTCGATTAATTCTAAAATTTTCAAAGTTTTGCTAAGGATAACTTGATCTTTTGCTTCTGGGGAGCAATATGTAAAATTAGGCTAATAACACTCTTCTTAACTTGAGAGATTTACTGTAGTGTTGTGTATGCATGCTACATACATATATCAAAAAATATAAAATATACACCAGTTTAGAGTTTATATATATATATTTATATATTTAGTATAATGTGTGTGTGTATATATATATATATTCAGTATAATGTGTATATATATCAACCCAATGAATGTAAGGCAAGGAAAGTCAATTGCTGTTTTGTATACTTTGTGTACATATTGAAACCAGTTCTGTTTGGGGGATTTTATAAACAATAATAGATGCATCAGTGTTCGTTCAGTATTCGAGGAGGGGGGTTCAATGGAGAATTTACTTCTCCTTAGTTTTGATAATTTATGTTATAAATTCCTATGACCAGAATAAATCATTGATTTTTTATTTGAAAGATGGATCCCATGTCAGGCTGTGACACCCCTACTCTTGTGTTTATATTAGAACCCAAAGACAGTACACTGCAGTACAAAAAATGCGTACACCACTGAAATGACTTTCCTTGCCTTACATTCATTGTATCAACCAAAATGTCACAACCAGGTATTGGCAGCTTGCCATAAACTCATACCTTCCTCAATACAGTGTGTTTCAGGATACACTTATCCTCCCCTACCTTCCTTAATACAGGGTGTTTCAGGATACACTTATCCTTTCCTACCTTCCTCAATACAGGGTGTTTTAGGATACACTTATCTTCCCCTACCTTCCTCAATACAGGGTGTTTCAGGATACACTCATCCTCCCCTACCTTCCTCAATACAGGGTGTTTCAGAATACACTCATCCTTCCCTATCTTCCTTAATACAGGGTGTTTCAGAATACACTCATCCTCCCCTATCTTACTTAATACAGGGTGTTTCAGGATACACTTATCCTCCCTTATCTTCCTTAATACAGGGTGTTTCAGGATACACTTATCCTCCCCTACCTTCCTTAATACAGGGTGTTTCAGGATACACTTATCCTCCCCTACCTTCCTCAATACAGGGTGTTTCAGGATACACTTATCCTCCCCTACCTTCCGTAATACAGGTTGTTTCAGAATACACTCATCCTCCCCTATCTTCCGTAATACAGGGTGTTTCATGATACACTTATCCTCCCCTACCTTCCTTAATACAGGGTGTTTCAGGATACACTTATCTTCCCCTACCTTCCTTAATACAGGGTGTTTCAGGATACACTTATCCTCCCCTACCTTCCTTAATACAGGGTGTTTCCGGATACACTTATCCTCCCCTACCTTCCTTAATACAGGGTGTTTCCGGATACACTTAAACATTCCTTAATACAGGGTGTTTCAGAATTCATTTATCATTTGTTTAACCAATGAGGATAATAAAACTTGCGAAATCTTTAGTTTTATAATGTACGACTACAAGGGAAACATTGTTGCTTTGACTTTAGAGTAACAATTAAGGTTAAAAGACATTGCAAGAAGAAGTTTAGTAAAACATTATTTGTACATGTACAACGTACAATTAACATTATTCGTACATGTACAACGTACAATTAACATTATTCGTACATGTACAACGTACAATGTATCAGAAAAAATACAACAATATTTTTATATCATTTGTATTCATAGTTTTTATGTTAGATTTTACTAATGGACAAATAATCTCTGTTCTGGGAATAAGAAAGTAGGAGAAATTAGAAAGCTTGTGTTTGGTAGTTTTATACCAACACTATACAAATTCCACAGTATATACCTTACTTACCATACCTTAATACCATCCCTACTTCTTAGCAAAGTATAGATACACCAGGAAACCCTTAAACTCTGTTTAAAACTAGCGTACTGCAGTTTGTTTATTTATGTTCCTCCTAAAGATTTAGAAATAGATTATCCACATTACTTATTACCAAAAAATTGCCATTTTTTCAAATAAATTGGAATTATTATTAACAATTTTTTTCTATAATTTTATGGATGTTTGCCACGGTTTTATACGTCCTCGATGCGTCTGCATTAGTCATAGAGAATAGAACATAAAGAGAGCAATTTACTAAAAAAAGTGTAAAACGGCCATTTTGTTGTACTGTTTCCATCATGCAGGTGTACTTCACATATTTATGCTATATACCTGTTGGGCCCTGGAATATCATTTTATAGAAAATCTAAAATTATTGTTAAAAGTAAACCAAATTATGAAATAGGCTGGTTTCATACTTGACCAATGATCATTTCACATAGACTCTATGCCTTCCACTTTACAAACGATGATTTTCCGTTATAACTATAAATCAAATGATGTTTTTATTCACCTAATTCATTAAAAAGTTTATTTAACAGTTTAAAAAATTCGAAATTGAAATGAATATTCTAGGGAACATACCGTATTAATGTACTCTACTGCATATAATTTGTGAACATTTAGATGATTTGTACACTTTGAACTCCCTTTCAGGCTGAAAGGGACTGAAAAAATTCATACCGAGAGATTCTTGTAATTCCTCTCTATATATTCTATTCTCTATGGCATTAGTGCGTCCACTTTTGCAATGTTGATTAATTTGAATATTGCGTAGAATCCTTTAAGTCAGCGCCTGACATTGTAATTTCATGTGACCTTCACTAAAAAAAAATGGCACGCCCGATTCACAACGGTATCCTTTAAACCTTTATTTTAGATTGAAAAGTGTTTAATTCTGATAATTCCTACATTCCTCTAGAATAAATGCAAAAGTCGCTAGTAAATAAACCGCAATTAAAAATAATCAGTTTTTCAAAATTAAATACATGAATATATAATGTATTCTTTAGCAAGCAAAGATTGTTGAATGAAGGAACACTTGAAATTGCACTCCCCTTAAGTTAAATTGTTTTTAAATCAATGCTATATATCTACAATCTACATATATTGTTTAGGAACTATGTCTGACACCAAGGAAATGATAGATAACCTTCTTCAGGAGAAAAAAGTTGTTGTCATATCTAAATCATATTGTCCCTACTGTACTAAAGCTAAGGTAAGAATGTTGTCATATCTAAATCATATTGTCCCTACTGCACTAAAGCTAAGGTAAGAATGTTGTCATATCTAGATCTTATTGTTCATACCTTCTCTGTTCCTCAACACCTAAATTTAAATATCCTTGAATTTTAGGGTGGTCCAGCAATTAGAATACTTGTAATCCATAAAGTATCTTATCCCTGACCCAGATGAACTCATATAGAGGTGTTTTCAGTGGAAAGATTGTTTTTCTTTCCCATTGATGCTATAAAGAAAGATTACTTGCATAATTCTGTGGTACATTAAAAACAGCATTAATAACAAATCAATTTAAACTAAACAAGGTAAACACAAATACAATACATTAGTTGAAACATTTTTTGTAAAAAACTATTTTTTTCTAAATTTAACCTGAACGATCCCAAAAATCATTTTAAATTTTGATTCAACATTTGTATAATTCAGTGGAATGCACTGCAAAGCTAAGGTAAGAAAGTAGTTGATCTTATTGTCTACTCTTCATAACAGCTGATTAGAGTGAAAGAGTGGTAAAAATGGTGGTAAATAAAGTGTTATTTTTTTGCCACAACTCAAATTTAAATCTCTATATATTTGAAACCTATTGGTGTAAACTTCAAACTTAACTTATTTGATCTAACAGAATTCATAATTTGAAATATCAATGATCTACGACATTGGGTTGCAAAGATTTAGGGATTAGAATATTAGATTTTTTTTTACAAGAGCTCAGTTCCTACTCCATATACTTTGGTTTCTTAACATAAATTTCCTACCTAGGCTGCCTTGTCCAAGTACGCCATCAACCCCGAGGACATTGAGATCCTTGAGATAGAGAATAGACCGGAAATGGACGAGATACAGAGATATATGAAGAAACTGACCGGCCAATCCTCAGTGCCCCGTGTATTTATTGGTGGGAAATGTATCGGCGGAGGTGATGACGTCATGGCGCTCCATCAGAGTAAACAGCTGGAAACTATGCTCAAGAATGTTGCAGCTCTCAACTGATTTTAAATAATTAATCTTGGATTCACACTTCACATCAAATCAAAATGAAGAAAACGAACCTTTGGTTTCCGTCGTACATAAAAATTGTAAATTTCTTCAGGAAATTCCTGTTCTTTGATCTGAAAAATGTTTGGTGCCCGGAAAATCTTAGGTTCCTTTTCCCTATGTTTTCCCCTAGCTCAGTTAAGAGTGTAGCTTAAATGTTGGTGTTTTCAGATAGATTTGCATATATGTAAAACATATGAGTCACGTGTTTCCATTTTTTAAACACTCACTGTTGATGAAAATTCATATTACCATTCTTAATAACATAATTTATGTTATAAAAAACGCGGTTTATTTGAGTTTTAATATCTTATTTTTTTCTTAGCAGAATTTCAAATTGTTTTGATGTATTTAACGACTTCATGAGGATAAGACTCCTAATTGTAGTTTACAGCAATATTTATTCTTCAAAATCACAAGGTTTCCGTAAACTAAGAAAAGTTTTCTCTGAAAGAACGATATTTATGTCAGAATTCCCCAATTTTGTCAATAATCATGTATTTTCAAAACTTGAGTAAAGAAAGTCAAAGTGTCGAAGAATATTCTAGAAAGTTTGCTGGAGAACTTTAACCTAAACCTTAACCTTGACAGATTAGATCTGTTTTCAAACTGTAACGTTTAATTCTTATCAAGAAATGAAATCAGCCAAAAGTGATGTTCACAAAAATTTATTTTTTTTCATTTCTCTTCAAATTTTTCGTCATAAACTTACCGGCAAACACTTGGTACAAGTCAAATAATGTTTTTTAACAAAAATATTATTTGAATTTAAGTACAATTTTATGTAATTCTTAATCTCAAAAGTAATCTTAACTTCATTTGGCATCATAATCATAACAATTCAATCTTTTTTAATGGAGCAAACTTTGCGATTGCTTTTACACGGTGTTGAAAAAAACAGTTCACAATTTTTTTCACTCTCTACAGAGGCTTAAATATAATTCGATCATAATGAAATTAATATTACAGTGTCTCTGGTATGTTAGGACTGCATGGTTAAAAAATGAATGAATAAATGCTATTTATCTCTTAGGGTTGAAACTGATCGGCCTACCCGGGTGGGATTTCCTATTTTACCAAACTGTACGGGCAGCCGTAGTACATTTGAATTTCCGAGCCGGGTCAATCTTTCCGGTCCCAGATTGTACTGTATTGCCATGACATCGGATACATGAAGCAGACACTCAAAGGACTAGCCGGTGCAACAAGGTTGACGCGGTCAGACTTTAGGTTGAATTTACTTTTAATAAAGTGTCAGAAGCACGTTACTGGTTAAGTTGATGGAGACTTTCACATTTCGGTCTTGGTAACCTTCTTTTAACCATAGTCCAAACACTAAATTACAGGCCGGACAGTTCATCTTAAAACTTCATGAACATTGTCCGGTGTAAACCAAACTTTGATTGGAACTATTAATGACATCATAACCGGCTGGCTGTCGAGGCTGGTCACAGGTTCGTCCTGCCAGCAATCTGAACTCTCAATGACCAGGAAAAGCAATAAAATATGGTCACATAAGCTTATTGTAATGTCTTTGTCAGCTGTTCTCCTTGTTGAAGGTAAAGGGAAGGAATTGGCTCCGTAGTTGCCTGGAAATAGTGGGTTACACAGTATACTCCAAATTGGGTTTGGGTCATATCAGCTCCACCCTGAACTTGTAATCTGTTAATTAACAAAGCGTTCATAGAGTTTTAGGGTTTTATTGAACACCTTTAAACAGATTCTGTTAATTTTTAAGCCTGTTCTTGACCTCCATTAGCTTTGTGAATGTTTTTTGCAGGAAGGCTGATTTGTCCCCAAGAGATATAGAGCATTCAGAGCAGGGTTGATAAAATCCTCTGATTTTTTAACTAAGTATTCCTGAAATCCTAGAGACATTGTGAAATTGTTTTAATACGATGTGGTAATAATTAAGATAACATTTTTTACATATAAAATTCAATAAAACTGTGATTTAAGAGTTTAGCACTCTGCACTTATTGAGTGAAATTCTAAGACTTTTTTTTATTAAAATGCTCGATCTATAATTTCAGATAATATGGAGGAGGTGAATCTTCATCCTATATACAGGCTTCTGAAGGTAATTTATAGGAATAGATTAAGTTTTTTACTTCTTACTTTCTTCAGTTTTGATCTACACTTCTTTAGTTTGGATCTAAACTTATTTTTGTTTGATCTTAACTTCTTGGTTATGATCTAAAATTCTTTTGGTTTGATGTAAACTTCTTTTGTTTTGATCCAAATTCTTTTGTTTTGATCTAAACTCCTTTTGTTTTGATCTAAACTTCTTTTGTTTTGATATAAACTTCTTTTGTTTTGATATAAACTTCTTTTGTTTTGATATAAACTTCTTTTGTTTTGATCTAAACTCCTTTTGTTTTGATCTAAACTTCTTTTGTTTTGATATAAACTCCTTTTGTTTTGATATAAACTTCTTTTGTTTTAATCAAAACTTCTTTTGTTTTAATCTAAAATTCTTTTGTTTTGATATAAACTTCTTTTGTTTTAATCTAAACTTCTTTTGTTTTGATATAAACTTCTTTTGTTTTGATATAAACTTCTTTTGTTTTGATCTAAACTTCTTTTGTTTTGATATAAACTTCTTTTGCTTAAATCTAAACTTCTTTTGTTTTGATCTAAACTTCTTTTGTTTTAATCCAAACTTCTTTTGTTTTGATATAAACTTTTTTGTTTTAATCTAAACTTCTTTTGTTTTGATCTAAACTTCTTTTGTTTTGATATAAACTTCTTTTGTTTTGATATAAACTTCTTTAGTTTTAATCTAAACTTCTTTTGTTTTGATATAAACTTCTTTTGTTTTAATCTAAACTTCTTTTGTTTTGATCTAAACTTCTTTTGTTTTGATCTAAACTCCTTTTGTTTTAATCTAAACTTCTTTTGGTTTGATATAAACTTTTAACCTTCTTAGTTTTGAGCTAAACTTGTCTTGTTTTAATCTATACTTCATAGTTTTATTCTAAACTTTCTTTTGTTTTGATCCAAACTTTTTTTGTTTTGATCTAAACTCTTTTTGGTTTTGATCTAAACTCCTTTTGTTTTGATCTGAAATTTTGTAGTTTTGATCCAAACTTCTAACCTTCTTAGTTTTGAGCTAAACTTCTTTTGTTTTATTCTAAACTTTCTTTCGTTTGGGGCTAAACTTCTTTTGTTGTGATCTAAACTCTTTTTTGTTTTGATCCAAACCTTCTCAGTTTTGGTCAAAACCTTCAAGATCTTGTTCACAGTTTTTTGTTCTGATCTTAACTTCTTCTGTTTTGGTCTGTACTTCTTTGGACTATGTATTTACTTCAAAGTGTTGTTCTTAACTTCTTAGTTTTTATCTAAACTTCTTATATTTGATATAAACTTCTTCTGTTTAGATTTAAACTTTTAAGTTTTAAATGAATCAGGATTGAAATAAGACGTCTAAGGGTTTGTTATTAACTTTTTCTATTTGATCTAAAATTCTCAGTAGAATTGCAGATTACGGTGAAATAAGTTGAACAACACTTTGTTATAGAAAAGGGCGGAGGGGAGGGGGGAGGGGCCGAGAGGAGAGGGGGGCACATCACCATGAC